AGAGTCTAGATACAACGATACCCCCCGGCCATTTTCAGTCTAGATACAGCGATAATGACCGGCAGATTCTTGATCGGTAGGTAGGCCACTTTCAGTCTAGATACACCCCTCTACCATCGCTCCCTCACGAGTGTCCTGCAACAAACCAGCGGTACCCGTCTTCCCCCGAATAGAACGTACGGTCATTATCGGTGTATCTAGACTGAAAATGGGAAGACGGGGGAAGACCGGGGGTAGCTACACCCACGACCTCATACAGGTGTAATGACCGTACGCTATATTCGGGGGGTAGCTACACCCACGACTGAAGTTCCCCATACAGGCGTAATGACCGTACGCTATATTCGGGGGAAGACGGGGGGTAGCTACACCCACGACCTCACGACCGTACGCTATATTCGGGGGAAGACGGGGGGTAGCTTCCCCCTTCCACTCTTGCTACACCCACGACCTCACCAGCACGCAAGTACGTTCTATTAGAAACCTATCCGTCAACAAAAAATGGGAGGGGGAAATAATGAAAAAAAAAGAAACGAAAACCAAGGCAGATAACGAACATGGCCTCCTCCCTCCCCTTCCCTGCCTACTTATCGTCTTCACCACAATAGAATGTCTGGCCATTACAGCTGTATTTGGGCAATTAACAGTCTAGATACAGAGATAATTACCGGGCGTTCTGTTCGGGTGATAACGGGAGTCAGGCAAACCTACCGCAGCAGCCTTCCCACTAAGAAACAACGAATCCAGGACCCAAAAAAAAAAAACACTTACACCTTTCTTGGCCTTTTGGCTAAGATAAAGTATAGTATCTGTTTTCATCAGTTTAAATATCTGATCCGTGGTCCGTCGGGGCACAGTTTTAAAAAAATTAATAATAATAACAAGGATAAGAATAATTGTTAAAAAAAAAAAAAAAAAACCTACCACAGCCCCTTTCGACCGAGAAAAGCCCTTTACCAAGGAAACGCATTACAACTGCAGGGGAGAGAGAACCTGGGATAACGACAAGTGCAGTACAGAGAGAAAGCATGGGGGAGATAAAAAACACCACTCACCACATGCACACAAAACAATAATGAATGCGCTGTATCTTTCCATGTTCTACTGAAACATTCATTCTCATTTTCCACATTTGGTGAGTGCTGTGCTGGAGCAGCAAGGCCCATACATAGCCTAGAGAGGAGGCGACGGGAAGTGGAAAGAAGAGAAAACGGAAAGAAGAGAACCGTCTTTGTTTTGCTTCTTGGAATGAATCTTCCTTCTGCTCAAGTTTCAGATCCGCACCTCCCCCTCCGATCATCTCCTCCCTCTCCATTTTACCAGAAAAAAGGGAAAAAAAACGAAAAACAACGGAGAAAATGGTTTACTTCCGGTGGTATAGCAAGTCGAGCCACGTGGACAGTTGACAATTGACTCGGATGAAGGGCCTCGCCGCATCACTCACAAAATGCACAAAAGACAAAAATTAGGGCCCTGTATCTATCCATGTTCTGCAGCAAGATTCGTTCTCATTTTTTGCAGATTTGGTGACTGGTGCGGCAAGGCCCAGACGCTGTTTTCCCTGTTTTGCCTGTTTTCGAATGGATTATGGGCTTGCTGCATTCAAGAACAGGGAAAAACAAAGCGCGGTGTACGGTTGAAAATGGCACGTGTCCAAAAAAAAAAAAAAAAAAAGGCACGTGTATAAGCTTACTCAATTTCCAAAACAGGGAAAAGAAAAACGACGCACGCTCCTCGACATTCACTCTCGATTTAAAATTAAAAAAAAAAAAAAATATCGATTCCTCTTACCTCTTCTGATCGCTCGCTGCTGGTTAACAGTAAACTCCGGGCAGTAGGGAAGAGGAATGGACAACCAGGAAAATAAGGAAGAAGGTGAAGGGGAAGAAGCCCGGCGGAGGGAGTCGAGAAGAGACGTACACAGAACTGTGGAGAAAAAGGGTAGGGAAAAAAAAAAGGGGCGGGGAAACTGAACACATGACAAAAATCAATCAATTGGCTATCTAGAGAAACAAAATAAAATCTCTTGCAGGCGGAGAAAATGATCGGGAGAAGGGTGGGGCGGAAAGGTAAGAAAAAGAAGAAGGAGAGTGCGAAAGGGAGGGATGGGGGAAGGGTAGGCCAGGGGGGGGGGGGGRAAAGGGAATAAGAGCGGGGGGGGAAAGGTAGAAAAGAGAAAAAGAAAAGCGGAAAAACGAAAGGGTAGAAAAGGAAGGGCGGGAAAGGTGGGAAAAGGAAGTAAGGGCGGGAAAAGACAGGGAGGGAATGGCGGGAAAGGTGGGGAAGAGAAATAAGAGCAGCAGGAAAAGACAGGGCGGGAATGGCGGGAAAGGAAAAAAAGAGAGAAAGGAAGGTGAGAGCGGGAAAAGACAGGGCGGGAATGGCGGGAATGGCGGGAAAGGTGGGAAAGGGAAGTAAGAGCGGGAAAAGACCGGCCGGGCAGGGTGGCGGGAAAAGACAGGGCGGGAATGGCGGGAAAGGTGGGAAAGGGAAGTAAGAGCGGGAAAAGACCGGCCGGGCAGGGTGGATAAGGGAAAACAAGAGGAGAAAAAGTGACTGTGAGCCAAGAGGTAGAACGAAGGAAAGAAGCGGGGGGGGGAGAGAGAGAGAGAGAGGTGGAACACGACGGGCAAACAAATCGAACCGAAGGAGAGACGAGGAATACAGGAGGGGGAGGAGGGAGAAGAAGGAAGGAAAAAGACAGATAACAACCAGCCCTTGCCCACGTGGCTTAACGGTACACACGCATGAATAAACTGTTAATACTAAATAAATAAATAGACCTAAGCAAGAATCCTCACCGGATCAAAAAAAAAAAAAAAAAAAAAAAAAAAAAAATCCTCAGCGGATCAAGTGAACAAAAGTAACTCGGAATTACGTGACACCGATCAGTACGATGATGACACCTCAAGGCCGTCACCGTTTTACAAAAGGGGGGGGGAGGGAAGATACCTGATGGACCAGGCAGAGGCGAAATGGTGCAGCAATTGGAATTTTTTTCCACAAACAATCTTCCACATTCATTAACTGATCAATCAACAGGCTTGCCATACCCGTCTTCCCCCGAATAGAACGTGTGGTCATTGTCGGTGTATCTAGACTGAATGTTGCCCCAAATACAGCTAGAATGAACGAATGTTCTATCCGGGGGAAGACTGAATGTGGAAGTTTACAGTTGATGACACCTAAGCTATATGGGATCATCGTAAGGAAGACAGCAGCAGCAATGGAATGGGCAAAGCAAAGACCAGACAGCCAAAATTATCACACAATGTTGTTCAAATTGGGTTTTGTGTGTGTGTGGGG